GAAGGTGCTCCGCCAGTCCTTCCACTTGTTTGCTTTACCTCTTGTCATGAGGTAGCCCCTGTGGCTTGTCAATTGATACCAGCCGGTACCGCCTGTTTTAGGGGTCCGGCTGAGATAGTTCATATGGGCGAAAGCCTCGAAGCTCGGCTCCACCCCGTGCAGTTCGCACCCGGCCACATAGCCGAGTACGTTGACCCAGGAGTTTGGGGCTAACTGCCATAACCCCAACTCATACCCATCCAAAATCCGCTGAACAGCCGGATGTAATGGGAAGCGAAGCCCTGCCTTGATGGCCGCCTCGTAGCAGCCAAAGCAGGCGCTATCATAACTGGAACCAGCCGGCCAGACAACTGTGTCTTCTGGATCCGGCACAAACACTAGAAAATCGGGGCCCATGGTGTGGTTTGCAATAAAGCTCTCCACTTTCTCTTGCATGGCTGTGATTCGGCCCCGAGGCACCGTGCAGTAGTAGGGGGTATTTAGCTCTCGGTAAGAGGCGGATGGTTCCGCCCAATTGTCCCCCTTCTCAACTGCGTGAGAAAGTCTCGCCTCTTGCAGGCGGCTGTTTTTCTCTTCTGTACCCAAAGAAGCATGGCCAGAAGAGCTTGACTCGGAATCGTCCTCCGACGAGTCCGAAGAGGACGACTCCTCCCCTCTCCCGGAGGGGCCCGCCTCCTCTCTTTGAAAAGGAGCAGATTTGTTAACTGTTAAATGGGAAGGGGTCACTATGACTCCCCCCACAGAATTGCCGGCATCCAGGCCGCCTTGTTTCACTTCCACATCTGGCGCCTGGTCAGATGTTTCACTAAGCGGCACCCTGTGGGAGGAGCCGTCTGAATTTGAGATCCTAGCTGTCTTTTTCGTTCTGGCCATCCTGCTCTGCATAGACACAGATACAGTCGGACTTTGTATAAAGGGCAAAGATGGGTCCGGAAAAGGGCAGGCGACACTCCTAGTCCTAGATTCAGCCGTCCCCGGTGACCGGCTGATCACTAACCTAGGTCGTGTCGTGTGCTTCCGTGGTGCCATTTCAGAAAATAAAAAGAAAATTAAGAGTAAGAGAGCTGAGTTACCTGAACAAGTGACGGTTGATGAAGTTCTGGAAATCCGGTGCAGTCGGCTTGTCAGAACAGGCGGTAGGCAGAAAAGGTCCAAAATGTCAGAGCAAGTTCAGGGGTCCGAATGTTCTCAAAAAGTTCTCAAAGTGTGAAAATGACTCAAGACAACTCTCCCTTATATAGGCGAAGTGAGAAGGCGAAGGGTCACTTTCAGAATTCAAAATTTGGGCGGGAAAATCTCTCGTCCTTTCGCCGACTGACACCTGTAGCAGGCCGTCGCCTGTTACAGTGCGACACCTGTCACAGGTAACACGTGACCAATCACGTGCCACCTGTGAGGGGCAAATGATTAGGGGATTTTGCTCCTACCAATCGGAATGCGCCACGTGGACCAATCAGGTCCTGCCAAGTGTCCCCCAGTTGGAACAGCCAGGGCTTCCCACGTGGCACGCGCTTATTCGTCCACCTTGGACCTGTTATGTCAAGACATGTGGCATACTCCATGCCTAATGGAGAAACCGGCCACCCAGGCCCAACTTCCGAGGGAAGCCCAATCGGCCCTAGGTTTACCTAAACCTAGGATGGGCACGTTTCCCAAGGTTATAAATACCTCCCTTAATCCTCATTAAGGGGATCACAAAAAGAGAACAGAAACATTACGGAAAAAACACATTAATTACACACGGTAATAACCGGCTGATCTCGCTAACAAAGCAGATTACCTACGTTAATCACTCTCACCTAGAGAGACCTAATCACTTTAATTTCCGCATTAATTACTCCTTAATCAAGTACTAACTTGACCGTTGGAGGCGGAGCTCCCAGGAGTCTCCGTTATTTTGCAGGTACAGGCGTCCGGTTCCAGTCTCGGAATTGTAACTCTCCCGCAGGACATCAGAAAACCCCGAAACACATGCGATCATATTTCAAGAATCAATGCAACCACTTTAATTTACAACACCCTAATTATTACAGAGTAATCCCTTATTCCTTTATAGCCTTTACAGAAAATAAAAAAAAGATTTAATGCCATTTCATTTTCTCATTTATCTTATGGATCTCCCAAACATCTTATCAAACCGGCATTTATACTCAAGTGACGTTATTATTAATTATGGCTATTAATTAATTAAGGCAACAGATGCAATCAAGCAAAAGCTAGTTAGTTGGATTACTAGGTAATGAATTAATAGGTTTCTCTCTCTAGTTGAGAGTGTTCTCTTTCTCTCTAGTTTGACTAGAGAAGTTGTCTCCTTCGCTTTATAGTATCCCCATACCTTCTTTCTAATCTTCTAGTAACAGTATGTACTCAAATTACACAAAATCTCATCTGAATAGGCTAGGAGTTGGGATTCCAAAAATGTCGTACGACTATCCAGAATATGTGGACAAGTATGCAATCTTAGTGGTTGCCAAAGTTTGGGATGCCAGGGAGTTTAGTGAAGTTCAACTCCAGAATTGGGTAGACAATCTATGGAAAATGAACAAAAACATAACAGTACAGAAAGTGAGTCACTCAAAAGATTTGTTTTTCTTGTTCAGTACTTCATGGGAGGATAGGGATAATTTAATATCCATGAGATCAGCTTCCTATAGGGTGCTTTTATCAGCTTCAAAAGTTGGCATATGGGAACAAGTGTGCTTAATCTGGACTGTTCGGAAGCTTCTACTTGGATTAGAGTTGAAGGACTTCCTCTGGAAGAATGCCAACCTCAAGTGGCTAGCAGAATTTTGGAAAGGATTGGGAGGGTCATTAGATTTGACCAACAATCCATGGAGGATAGACCTCATAGTATTCTAAGAGCTAAGGTTTCCTTTCCAGCTGAAAGACCCCTAGTGCATGGGTTCTTCTACGAGGTTACACCATAAAAATCCCTGTGGGTGCACCTAAGGTATGAAGGAGTGTTTATATACTGTCACGACTGTGGTAGAATTGGGCACAGGATGCCAATGTGCAAGATACCTCAAGTGTTAGCTCATAGAGAGGTCACTAATCGTATCAAGAGCTTGTGTAGCACTAACCATGACCTGCTTCTGGCAAGACCAGCCACTCCTTTATACACAAAGAAGATTACGGGATTGGCGGATAAAGATTGCTTCAGAACAACAAGGGTTAATCTGCGGGTACGTAGTTCCTCACCCCTCCCCTGCCTCGGAGTCATCACTGCATACCCCTGTCTCTCACAATTCCCCCCAACCAAGTGAGAATGGGAGTAATCAAGAGCGACATTGCCAGACCAGTAATAGGGGAACTAGCACCAGAAGTGACAGCCAGGACTCTAATTCTTCAAGATCCTCTAGCTCAAATAGTTCACATGATTCAGGCCCAAGTACTAGAGCCCCTAAAAGACGAGGGTTAATGGAGGGTGGACAGGGTACTCTAAACCTTGTATCTGTAGAAGGTAGCAACAAAAAACCAAAAGTTAGCCCAGGGCCTAGTAAGGCGATGGGGGTGATCCAGGAACACCGTGATGAGGACAGGGGAGATGGTAAAATCATAAACATGAACTCGATCCGTGGGAGAAGGGGTTTACAGGACCTTACCCCAGTTATTATTTCAAGCTTACAAATGGGTAAATACAGGGAGTCGATGCTCAGAAAGATCATGGAGCCACCTCTCCGTGTCCAGCAGAAGCCCAAGTTCGCGAGTACATGGTGTACAAGGACTAGCCCACCCACAACTACAGAGAGTCAGCGACAGAGAAGGAAGCTGGAGCTATGGGACTCAACAAGGGTAATTAGTCATGGGACTCCTCAAAATCAAGCTGCTACAAAGGGAAGTCTGGGAGAGATGGAGGTTCAGGCTACAGTACAAGGTGTTGGGCCTAACAAAGATTTCCAAAACGCTGTTACTAGGGAACAGAGTTCTCAAGAACAACAAGGTACCTCTGTTCTCCTCCCCCCCCCCCCCCCCAACTACCAATTTATTGTTTCCTGTATCCCAGTTAGGCTCCTTTGACCAGGCATGTTTGAATTTAGTTGACTTCAAGAAGAGTAGGGTGTTGAGCTTGCCACATAGGCAACCTCGAGACACAAACTATACCTGTGTGAATGTGTCTCACTTCAGGGAGTTTAATCCTTGTTGGAACCCTGCTCCCCCTCCTTTCTTCCCTCATTCCCCTCCTCCCTTTATTTTCGATAAAAATAACTCAACTACCTAGAGTTATTATTATAGGCCAGTGTTAAGTCTAACAGAGTTCTCCACTTATTCTCTGTTAAAAAATGAAATCCCCCCGTATAATTCGTTTGAAAGCCTTACTTCAAGATTTTATTCCTTTTTCCCATTTAAAGCACAATCACCAACTGTCTTCCTCCCCTTCCTCTTGCACACTACTATTATGGAAAAAGTGGATGAATATAAAGTTGCCTTGACTTCAACAGACAGAAACTTTACACTTTTATTAATGTATAGTATTTTATTCACTTACTTTTTTCTATTTTATCTTTCTAACTTCATTTTGTCTACGATTGAACTTTTCACTTTTATTAATATACTTTATTCACTTTCTCCTCTTATTTTTTAAATACCGTGAAAAACACACAAATAAGAAGTATATTATGGGACGGAGGGAGCACTAATAATACTAATTAGGGATGTACACAGTTTGGTCTGGACCATAACCAAACATGACCAAACTGCATTTTAGCGGTTTGATTTGGCATACGGTTTGGTTTCGATTTTTGGGAAATACGGTTTGCAGTTTGGTTTGGTTTTTCAAAAATTATAAATCAAACCAAACCGTAAACCAGTAAACCGCATTTTATTATTTATATAATTTTTAAATAAATTAAAATAGTTATTATATATTATAAAAAAATTAAAAACACAAAAAAAAAAAAACATGAAAAATCACTCTATACTCATTCTTATTTTCCACTGTTTTTTTTTTGTTATGTATTATTTTTATTATGTGTTATTGTGTTAGCACTTAACACTTGATTAGTTGGTTGTTTTTTTATTAAAACTTTGTAGTATAATTTAATCCCTTTGGGCTAATTATTTGAACTTTATTATAAATTTATTAATATTTGATAATTTTTAGGAAAAAATGTCGTCTCATTGTAAATCGCAAACCAAACCGCATTATTACGGTTTGGTTTCAATACTAATATGGTTTGATTTGAAAAATTGACAAAATCGTATTTTGCAATTTGATTTGGTTTAGACTTAAACCGCACCAAACCAGACCATGTTCACCCCTAATACTCAACAAACATCCGTGAAAAAAAAAAAAAAAAAAAACGAACATTTCCTACGATATCCCTGAATACCCGCTCTAACCTGCCGGAGTTCCACCGTTGCCGGTTCACTCTTCCCCAATAATTGCAGTCATCACTTGCATTTCTTACTTCTAACCTTAATAATTTCAACTTACAATCCTTTCTCTAGATTTAATTATCTAATTTTTCAATCAAAATCAAATTAATTTCAATATCAAATTATCTTTCCCCAATTTTAGGTTCAATTTCAAACTTTTCCCTCGATTTCGGAATCTGGGATGATTAATAATGTCTACTGTTAATGTAATCAAGTCATCCCTTGATTCCATACAACAGGTAAATCTTCTTCTTCCTGATTTTTTCCTCTTTTAAAAATTTGGGTTGTTTTTCCACTTAATTGTGCTTTTTGATTGAATTGATTGTATTGAATTTGCAATGCCCTAGAATTTATCGATCAAATGTTAGGTTGTTCTTAGTCATACAATGGTGTATAGAATGCCTTTGTTTGGGGTAACTTAAGTTTCTGGGCTTGAGTTGGTATTTGAACATAGGAAGATTTTATTTTTACTGCAAATTTGAACTTAGTTTCAGCTATTGATGATGAACTGAATTGTTTGTTTGGAGGTGATTGCACAAGTGTAATGCTTATTCTCAGTCGGATTGAACTCGAGTGTGCTCTTGCTTTGTGTGCCTTATGTTTGAAGTGCATTGATTCGAACAAATTATGAACTTTGGAATTGAATTGTTGATATTCACCATTGCTGATGGATTCTAGCTTCTGCCTTAAGAAATTACTTGAGCAGAAGTGGAGTGTCGATGCGAAGGAGATTATAGTTGTACTCTATGTTGCTAACTAAGTTGGAGATGATTGATGATGATTATTTATTTACATTTATTTTTCTTGGCCTGACTTTTATTACCCCTTAGTATATTGCCCTCAGTCTTAGCATGCTCTTAATGGGGTATGATTAAGAGTTATTTTAAAGAATGGAGTTGAAATGATTGAAGCATTGATAGCCAAGATGGTTTGCTTACATGACATACGGAGTAGGATTTTAATTCTTGTACTCGTCAATGAGGATTCTCATGGGTTATATCTGGATCAAATATTCTATTCTCTTACAAAATCTACCCTAAACACTTACTCATCGGCTCCTTCTTGCCATCTATATCACTATATCTTTGCTAGACTACCTCCTAGTGTCTAAAATACATTCCATGCACTCATTCTTGTTGTGACTTAGTTTGAACCCCAAGGTTCTAGATTTTGCCTTCATTGCTCTAATTTAGCATAAAGCCCAACTTTAATATCACCCACCAAGACAATTTCATCTGTAAACATCATACATTAAGGTATCATACCTTGGATAAATCTTGTTAATTCATCTAATACTACTTAAATGAGAAAAAGACTTAATGGAGACCCTTGGTAGTTTAATAGTGAAAACTGATAAGGAAATCCTTCGTTACTCCACAACAAGTCCTTACATTTGTTTTGATGTCTCGATTCATATCCTTAACTAGACCTATATACTTATGACTTATGAGGAATAGCCTTCTTAGTCATTGCCCACCATGGCCATCCAAGCACTTCTCTTGGACTCTTGGTGCCTTGTTATAAGCATTCTCCAAGTTAATGATAATCATGTGCAAACCCTTTCCATTGCCTATCATATTATTTGCCTTATCAGATGTATAGCTACCATGGTAGACTGCCCGGCATAAACCCAAATTTGTTATGTGAGATCCTCGTGCATTTCCTCAAAGTCTATCACTCTCTCCCATAGTTTCATGGTGTGACTCATTAGCTTTATCCCTCGGTAGTTTGAGCCATCTTGAGCATTACCTTTTTCTTATAAATAGGTTTTGATGTGCTTTTCTTCCAATCATGTTGCATAACACTGCTTAAAATTATTGGTACCACAATTTTGCTTAAAACTTTTGTTAAAAAACCAAATACTATAAAAGTAAAAAGTTTTGTTTTTCTCTGCTATGCCACTCAGTAGTATTCCTTGAATTTGTTAGGGTTTTGTCTTACAGGAATGTTCAAATTTTGAACAGATTGAGATGAATTGTTATTTTTTGCACAATCCAAACAGATTGAGGGCAATTATGGCCTGTTTTTCTCAGGGAGAAATGGAGTGTCAGTGTTTTTATTAATTTAATTATATGTTACTATTCCCGTCTGCTGCTAGCTAGCAAAGTAGTTCTCTGATGGTATTTGCTTGAAATATATGTAGATATCAGAACACCTTCATGAGGCTGTTGTTTACCTAGATGCGGGATGCACAGAGAGTTTCCAATTTATTGGTGCATTCTCTTTGTTATTGGAATATGGAGCACGTGCTGTTTGTTGCTTGGAGAACATGTCCCCGCTTGACATGGTAAGAATATATGATCTCCACTTTACTTGTTTTTGGGACCAGGAATTTTTTTTTTTTGCGAATGTTGATGGGATGATGAACTGCCTAATAATGGCATTCTGCTTCTTCAATTCTTCTGCCCTGCTGTTAGATGTGCAACATCCCTGGCCTGATGTGTGGAGGAAAGACATGGGGAAGAAATCAGTTTATAATTATTGAGGGATAATACCATGCTGTCATCATTCAATCTTGGAATTTGTGTTCTTGAGTAGTTTCTTTCCTATTTATGAAGATGATGAATAACTTATATAAATTACTAAGAGATAATATCTTGTTGACATTATTCAATCTTAAAATTTCGGTGCTTCAGTATGTGTTATTTTTGGTTTCTGCATGCGTATTGGTCCTAATTTCTTTCCTACCTATGGAAGATGATGGGAATGTCTCTTATTGCTTTCATAATGAACTTATATTAATATTATGATGTTTACCATGTAGCTCCAACTTAACCAAATTCAAGAAAGAACCTGTTGACTTTATTTTTGGTGCATTAGGTTGCTGATTGGAATGGAACAATAGACTCTGCTACGAAAGTGGTTGTTATTACATCATGCCTTTTGAGTGATGTGCACCGTTATGTCTTACGTTGTCTGGGAGCACACCCAAGTATTCAGCATTGTTGCATATTCACTTCCATCTCAGAGGTTTGTTTGCTGTGCTTTGGATACTTTGTTCCCTCTCTCTCTTAGTCTCTTTCCATTGCTTCCTTCCCTTCCTTTCTCCATTGGAACTTTTTTTTTTGGTCACTGTTTTATGGCTTCATTAATCTTTGAAATTGGTGGGCTTTTTGGATGGCTTCATGGATCTTTGTTTTAGTAATTTATAACAACTTTCATCCATAATTAAATTGGGATTTGTGTGTAAGTGAAATTTGTTGCTTTTACATTGATTTGTTACAGGAAATTTGTAGTTCCACATTTATTTTTTGGGAGTATTTCACTCATTTTATTTGTCCACAGATATATTAAGTTAGTTTCAATTTTCTAAGAAAAAAGGAAAAAAATTAGTGTTCAATCAGCTAATTAACTTCTAAAATGCCATTCTGGAGTAAATGCTTGTTTGTTGTTTCTAAAACTGAAAGTGAGAGAGCTTCACCTTTGATTTATAATACTATTCTTTCTTTTCTACATTGTGTGATTAAATAAGTTTATTTTTCCCATTCCCAGATAGCTCACTCAGCATATCCAGATTCACCCCTTGGCCCAGATGCATTTAGAGAATATGAATCTTTGTTAATACAAGATTATGAAGAGCTTTTGAATAAACACAAGACAAAGTCAGAACGGTTGGATGAAAAAAACTTATTGGAAAACTTGGCTTCGGAGGAAGGTTGGGCCCAACTTGATGATAAAGACATTTCTCATGTTGTCACTAGCCCTAGTGTGTCAAGCGTCAATGAAGATAATCTTAAGCAGAGAGAACAAGTGTTGGCCGTGTCTGTGCAGCACTTCCCTATGATATATTGCCCCTTGTCACCAAATTTCTTTGTCTTACCTTCTGGAGGTTCTGTTGCTCAAGCTAGCTTGTCAGCTGCGCATGAGCATTCACTCAGCCCTGGGTTGCCCCCACTAAGTACCGGTCTTGCTTCTGATGGTGAGGATGTTCCTGGGGCTACTCTTACAGCCCATTTTCTCTACTATCTGGCTTCTAAGGTAAGACACTTTTTTTTTTTAACTTAGCTGCCAGTTGAGCTGTCATTGACATACTTTAATTTGTTAAATTGGTTTAGCTTTTGTTATTTGCCATGCAAGTATATATAAACATCTATGAGTTGATATATGTGACACAATAGATAATATTAACAGTCATAATAAAGCTATTAGTGTCCTGCTGCATTTATGCTATGTCTCAATATTTCTGCCCTGAGTTTCTAGTGGAGTTATCCTTCTTCCCCCACCCTCAACCCTCTACTCTAGTTCCTCAAGCCATACATATTTTATTACATAAACACACATACACAAAACAGTAAATTTGTTAAATATTTGTTTTATTTCCTATAGTAGGTGTGACATGCTTCTTCTGTTTTGATCTGATGGTTATATGATAAATGGAAAAGTAACAGAGTTAAGTGAAAAATGTGGAATATTGTAAGAAAATAATGATAAAATAGTGTATATTAGTGGAATGTTGTATGATAAAAAAATAATAAATTAATGTAAGTGGCAATAGCTTTGAAAGAAGTATTAAATAAGGTGGGCCATGTTTTAAAATAGAAATTATTTCGAAACAGAGGGAGTGCATGTTTAGAATGCAGATTTACCAATAAAAAGGGAATTAAGCAAGAAATATTCAGGAACTATATATTTATATGTTTAACTGCTGGTTGTTGCTGATGTTGGTAACAAAGTTATATCCTACATAAGCTTAATATATTTTACACTGCTTTGTCTTCTTTCTATGATCTAATTCTCTACGAGGAGAACGTACACTTAAATTTTTTAGGAACTAAATTAATATTCAAACTTCTCCATATGTTATTACAAAGTGCCTTTGCACTTTTAAGGTTAATTGGGACGTTCATGCAGTGACTAGAGGTCTAGAGGTAAATCAAGCACTTTTCAATGTTTCCTTCATTTCTCTAAAATGCAAAACTTGCTATTTAAACAAACATGCAATATTTTTGGCAATAGGAGAGAGAAAGCGAGTGGGTTACTAAAAGTATATTCTAAAGAAGATAGAAAGGATGATAGACTAGTAGAGCGAAAGAGTGGCAAAGTATGACTAAAGTAAATGGGCTATTGTAAAAGTAACCAAAAAGAGAAGTGTTATAATTCTCTTTGAACATCCTAGTTTATCAATTTTAGAGAAACGGAGGAAGTACACTACACCTTTGCGATTAGGCAGAAGTCTAACACAATTCATTTGGCACTCGTAATAATGCTGTATGGGACCTAATGTAGCCACCCCTTTCCTTGTGTCATTTTCTTCTCTTTCTTCATCCTCACACGTTTGCTCTCATATAAATTAACTTTCTGCAACATTAATATATTCCTTCCTACATTTCTACATCAATCTCTTCCTTCCTACATGTCTGTCTTCTCCGCCCCTCTTTTGTGTACGTGTGTGAGTTGGTGGGCATGGGGGGAGAGTCCAGCATAGTTGTTAATTATTTCAAATATACGAATTAGTGATAGAAGAGAAGGGAATATTTTTTTGATACTAGGCTGGCTGGTAGCTGTTGAAATCAAAACCACAGAAGTACATCAAGCATGTTTGTGAAACTTAATTGAGGAAATTTGTGTGGATCTTTGAAGTGCTTTCCTCATGAGTATCAGACAATAAGCAAGTTACCAACAATTTCAGAGTTCTCTGTGCTTCTGTGGTATTGGAGGGCCTAGTCTATATTACCTGCATGGAACTTAAAATTGAATTGACTTTACCAACAGTGATTTCTTTTTCTATGTTGGATTGTTTGGTGGTATAGGTGGTTGTAATCTTGGTTTAGGACATCATTAAAATTATTATTCTCTACTTAATGTTCTTTTCCTCTCTTGATTTGTAGATGGATCTAAAATTGGAAATATTTTCTTTCGGGGATCAATCGAAAATTGTTGGAAGATTATTGACAGATATGTCGAGCCTTTATGATGTAGGTCGACGTAAAAGATCGGCAGGCTTGTTGCTGATTGATCGCACCCTTGATCTCCTGACCCCATGTAGCCACACTGATTCATTTTTTGATAGAGTTTATTCTGCTTTACCACGTAGAGAAAAATCACCTTCTATGCATGCAAGAAACTCACAAGCCCAGGCAAATCCAAATACTCGCGTACATCGTGCACCTCTTGATGTTCGCATACCTCTTGACAATGTTTTCAAAAAAGACTACGGAACTGATAATTTTCAGCTACTGCAAAATTTTGAAGCTTTCCTTCAGGGCTGGAATTCCAGCAGCACTGATTCAAAGATCCGGGACCTGATTGACCTAAGCAACAAAATTCAAGATGAGAAATCCTCTGGCTTCATAGAGCATTTATTTGATGGATCCTTTATGGCTGCAGAAAGTTTCCATGGAACACCCTATTTGGAAGCTGTATTAGGGAGACGAATGAAGGATGGGTCTGTACTTGTTAAGAAGTGGCTCCAAGAAACTTTGCGGAAGGAGAATATATCTGTGAATGTGAAAACTCGACCTGGTTCTGCCACAAAGTCAGAGTTGGAACCCATGATAAAAGCGCTGGCTACAACTGACTCATCCTTTCTTAAAAATAAAGGGGTTATCCAGTTGGCTGCTGCTACAGTGGTTGCTCTGGAAGACTTACATTCTGACAAATGGAATGCCTTCATCAGTGCAGAGAAAATGTTGCACGTTTCTGCTGGAGACACAAGTCAAAGCCTTGCTTCTCAAATAGGGGACTTGATCAATAAAAGCTTTTTAACTAGATCTCAAGGTGGAAAATCAAAGTCCTCACAAGGATTGATTTCTTTCAAGGATGCATTGCTCCTTACTATAACTGGCTATATTTTGGCTGGTGAAAATTTCCCCTCATCAGGATCTACTAGCCCTTTTTCATGGCAGGAAGAGCATTTAATGAAGGAAGCCATTGTTGATGCAATAATTGAGAACCCAGAATTGTCGGAACTCAAATTTATACAGGGTCTTGCTGAAGATCTTGAAGCTTATCGGAGTAAAATCAGTTCAAAGGAATTGAAGGCTACGGAGGAATTGTCCCTTGATGATTTTGATGGTGATGGATGGGGTGAATGGGGTGATGAAGATGCTGATAGTGCTAGTAATAAAGAACAAGGATATGATGACATGCAGCTCAAACTGGAGTTGCGCGATAGAGTTGATAGCCTTTTCAGGTTCTTTTACAAATTATCTGGTTTAAAGAGTAGGAATGCACCACTAAGAAAAGGTTCTTTTACCTCAGAAGTTGGTTTTGGAGGTGATTCCTTTGAAAATAAAGGTCTTCTATATAAGCTATTATTGAGAGCGCTGGGAAAATATGATGTACCTGGATTAGAGCATCATTCTTCAGCTGTAGGAAGACTTTTTGGAAGATTTGGCCTTGGCCAGGTGAGGAAGAAACAGTTTCTTTAAGAATACAAACTTGAATTCTGAATGTTACTCGCTCATTTTATACTGTCATCTGTGCAGGCAAAACCTAGTCTTGCAGACCAAAACATTATCCTTGTTTTTGTTATAGGTGGTACCAACGGCCAAGAGGTCAGTGATTTGAAAATATTTCATTCATGTTGCCTGCAGTCAACCTCTGCAAGTATATTTTCATGCTATCAATGTGCTTGTGAATTACGTAAGGCTGCTTTGGTGCTTTTTAAGCTCCACAGTTATTCCAATTAATTTTGTTTCAAGATTTTACCAAATTAAGAATACATGCAAACCTTGAGAGCCATGTAGGAACCACTTTGAAATCTTTTCACTTTTGTTTCGAGTGTTTGGCTTGAGAAGTGTCCTATTTTGAAGTGAAATTATTTGACAATCTTGTGTTGACGGATTATTTTAGTTGGTTGAGTAATTCCAGGAGACCTGATCATCTTCCTTTACATATCACCAGGTACATGAAGCTTTTGAGGCACTGTCTGAAACCGATATGCCAAATATCGAGCTTATAGTTGGTGGCACAACACTTCTTACCCCTGATGACATGTTTGAATTACTGCTAGGAAATTCTAGTTACTTCTAATTCAAAGCTCTGTAGATATTGTTCTGATTCCCCCCAAATCTCAGCGCTGGTTACCTACACATCTGTTGTATATTTTTACATGCATCTTTTTTTTTTTTTTTTTTGTAATAATTATTTAATATAGATATTTTTTTTGGCAGGGCTTGTAATATTAAAGGTAAGTGATCATTGTATTTTAGGCAATTTTAGTCTTTCTTTAAGTTAGTTGAGAAGCTGCCTTAATCTTTGTTTGCAGCTGCCAATCTTGGTTGCATCTGTCATCCGGAGTTGTCTTTTTCTGACGGAAAGAAATTTAAGCGAAAATTTAACAATATTTTCACACATTTCAGTCTTATATTAGTCCATACTCCTTTGTGTACTAAAGTATTTCATATCTATCTCTAGGTGCTTCTGGGGGGAGGGAGCCCTAGTATCCTTGTATCTCAAAATAGCAAATATGTAAATAGAAGGAACTTTATGAATATTTTATACTTTTTTAATGTACTATTTTTCTAGGTTGGCTCCTCTTCTCAACAAACACTATGCTCCATTTTCACTCCCCTTCATTTTCATATCGTTTTTCCTCCTTCCTAATAATGTTGCTTCATTTCGTAAACCACCAACGTAAACTGTCTGAATTCCGGTGGCGAATGAAAACCCTAAGAAAAATAGAGAAATTAAGAGCATGGTTAACCCAACCACCATTGATGCTCTTTGTTCTTCCATTGATGCTGTTCTGATTTTTGTTCCTCCATTGATGCTATTCTGATTTTGCTTGAATACAATGATATTCTAAACAATTTTACAATTTTAACGCCATCTTACTAGCTAAAAGACACATATACCCCTTTGAGATACATGATATGTATTTCATATTGAGATACTTGTATTTTCTCCTTCTAGGGTATATGTATACACTATACAGTTTTGGTTGTCTTCAATTGTTGTGCCTAAGTGTTGAATCTTAGACTAAAAGGTATGTGGCTTAATTTTGAACTTGAATAACTTCTAATTAAAATTATAGCAAATTTGACTTTTACTACCACTAAAAAGCACCACTATGATTTTTATTACCCATCTAAAATTTAACTTTATTTTATTTTATTATCACTAAAAACACAAAAAAAAAAAAAAAAAAAAAAAAAAATATTTTTTGCTGCGCCTTAATATTTTCCGGTAAAAAACCGTTAGTGGTTAGACATTCAATTAAGTTTTCTTGATTTGCGTGCCAAAAATGTTCCATGCGTTAAGTTTTTAGGGAGTCATTTTAGTCCAACGATCCAAATTGAGCTTGGAAATTAGCAAAAAAAAACAAAACAAAAGTGTTTCGTTTTCCATGTTCTAGAATGTTTTGATTTGTGTGTAACTATTCTTTTTGTCGCATAAATTACTTGGGTAAGATTTTGGGGGTCATTTTATATGAAAATTTCATCATACACTCGGGTGTACCATGAGCATAGTACACCCAGTCAAAATACAAGAGTTATAAAAACGCAAAAAGAACATTGTGTACAAAACAACTGTAATTTTTTCTTGTGGAGGCGGTGCATCCGGTTTCTTTTTAAAAAAAAGGCGGAATGGATATTTAATTGTCCAGTAAAGAATATATAGTTTTTTTTAAAGAACATACAACTATTTTATAATAACCATCCAATTTTATATTTTTTTGTAAATTTAAAGAATATTTGTAATATTAAAAAAGAACATGATAATATTAAGGAACATTCACTAGTAGAATAAATGAAAAAGGAATCAGTTCAAACCCCATATATGCCACCGGTTTGAACCGGTGAATATGTGGGGGGTGCCAATTCCTCCCACATTTGCCACCGGTTCAACACCGTTGGGATAAATGGGTTTTGGCACCGGTTAACCGGTGCCAAATATAAATTCCCGCGCAATTTTTTTGGTGATAGTCACTTTTTGGCACCGGTTAATCGATGCCATTTTACTATATTATTTTTTTCCCCTGTTTTCTAGCAATAATATAAAAAAAAATTCCTGTAATTCCAGCAGTAATATTAACAAAAATAATTAATATTATTACTATTATAATTACCAATAATAATAATATTATTTAAAATTATAATAAGATATAAATAATATTAAAAACAATAATTCATATATAGATATAAATATTCCCAAATGCAATACAATAAATAAAAAGTGTTATATATATATATATAAGGGAGGGATCCGGTGAGAATTCATACTTATATGAGAACTGATTTTAAATTTAGAACATGTGAGTAAAAGTTTAGAACATACGAGCAAAAATTTAGAACATGTGTCTGAAATTAAAATTGAGTAATAATTTAGAACATCTATGTGAGTAATATGTTTAGAACATTTGATTTAAAAATTAGAACAAGTGATTAAAAATTTATAAAATCTACTTTATGAAATTTTAAACATATGAGTAAAATTTAGATCATCTAATTTAAGATTATGAACATGTGAATAAAAATTTAGAACAAACCTAATATAGAATATAAAAAGTGTGAGTAAAAAATTTAGAACATTACGAGTAAAAAAATAGAAAATACGCTTTAAAATTTGGAACATATAATTAAAAATCTTAGAACATACATTTTAAAATTTAGAACATATAACTTAAAATTTTGGAACAAGTTATTTAAAATTTATGATATTAAACTTAACTAATTTATGGTTTAGAACATGTGAGTACTAAATTAGAACATTTGATTTAATTTAGAACACCTAGGAAAAGTTTAGAACATCAGATTTAAAATTTAGAACATACGAGTACAAATTTAGAACATAAATAGTGTTCTCACATAAGAAAAATTCTCACGAGAGCTTATATATATATATATATATATATATATATATATATATATATATATATATATATATATATATATATATATATAAACGATACTAAGTAATTAATGAATAATAATATAGTTAAAAAGTTAACAAAACATAAATTTACAATAAAAGTGACATTTACATGTTAAAGGTGATAAAAGACGCCAACATGTCACAAACTTCATTAAGTTCCTTGATTTTCAACGGACCATCCTTTTGTACCTTGCAAAACTTGAAATATAGAAAAATTATGTTAGAATTAATTAAATAGGCTAAACAATATGTATTTTATCAAAAATGGCCTATATGACTTCTACTTTGCCCATTTTTTACATTTCTTATCAAATGAACTATTTCGTTCTTATAACATGTCAATGTTGGCTATTATTAGGTGTCTAAGGCTTGAAATCACATCAATAGAGCATTTTATTATGTTTTAAGACGCATTTTACTCAAAATGGCCCAAATATGGCCGATATGACTTCTACGTTGCCCATTTCCTACATTTCTTATCAAATAAACACTACTACAAAAAACCCTTATCGAGTCGTCTCTAAACCATCTTACGCATCGCTTCAAGGGCGACACTACAGGCACCGACACAATAGGGTACCCCCTTACGTGTCGCCTATAGCGTGATGCGTTATGTTGGTTTATGAGTCGCCTTTTTCATCACAGGTGATGTGTTAGGTTGGTTTATGAGTTGCCTTTTTTTATTACTGGTGATGCATTAGGTTGTTTTACAAGTCACCTTTTTCATTACAGGTGACGCGTTAGGTGTATTTTATGAGTCCCTGACTTTTTATGAGGCGACGCTTAAAGTAATTGTTGAAAAATATAATTCTTCAATAGTAATGCCCAAAATACAATTAATTTTCTCTTTTTCCTCATTAAATTCACACTTGCTACTATAGTTATAACCTATGTAGGACTTGAACCTACATCTATGTGCAATAGCACATTGCTCTACCATTTGAGCTAATAGGCTTTTGAAAATTTCTATGGAAAAATTTACATAAAACTAACATTAGAAATATCAACATAAACATAGACATCCTAGAATAACAAATACAAAGTGACAATAATCTTTAACAATCATGCACCAACAATTGCAGAGAATTGTACCCATTATACCTTTAATGATACGACTTCATTATTGCTAAACGAATAAATAAAGCAATGGAATATTCTTCCCCAAAAATTATAATATTCATCCACACATTTCACCATAAGTTTAACAATTTAAATGATAAGATCAGCAACATTTCTGTACTATAACAATATAATTACCTAATCCAACCATTACATTACTTCACATAAACTTAGGAATGAATTAAATGAAATGACCATAGCTGGCAAAAAAAAACTACAGCTTAAGAGAAAGCATACCAATATAAATCACAGCCCTCCTCACAAGCATGACACATGGCATTGAGTGCTCCCATGGATACAGATAAACCTGCTTCACATATCTCATCAACTAAATCCAAAGCCAAATGGACCTATAATTGTTTTTAAGAGAAGAAAGGGAGGAAATAAGACAAAGCTTATTTTATAATACAATGCTCAAGTGGAGATAAACAAGAAATTGTGAAAAGGGCTAAAAATACTAACCGTGCACCCAAAAAGCAAGAATAATTTCTAATGTGGCAGACCCACAACGAAATTTAGCCACCACCTTATCACTCACATCCACAAGTGATATCTCCACCTACAAAGTTTAATAAACAAAAGTACCCAGACAATAATAAGAGCAAGAACTTGTAATGTTCAAGTTCAACTTGCAGAAGAAATTTTTTTTTTTTTAAAAATACACATATTTGAATTTGAATGAAGCAAATAATAAGGGAAAGTATTGGAATGAAAAAACTTCAATTTAGTGGATTAAGGCTTCCTCATTATCAAATTTTTTCTTTTTGAGGGATTCCACAATATCAATTACATCACACATCAACAAACCCAAATTATATATCCTCTTCTATAACTTAAGAAAACAAAATCTGTAAGTAGCTTCACAATTCAACCATAACATATATTTATAAATCACTGTCAAAAAAAGATTCGTAAAATTTACAGCCAAAAATATTGTATCATTACAAAAACAGAATCAAAACTGTTACTAATTCAGCAGCTGACATGCAAAATGGGACTATAACATATGGCAATTACTAATACTGCTAGTTTTATAGAACAAAACCTTCAACCTCCAAAATTATAGAAGCATAAACAAATATATTAATGATAATGATTAAGACACAAAGGGTATAATCAAAGTTTAAGAAGATGATATATAAAAGCTACGTTTTCACCAAAAAGAGACGAAATTAAATTAATTATATTGCTAAATTAAACGGCAATTTTCACCCTAACTCTTGAAATACCTCTAATCTTTACGAGTACACAATAAATTCCCAAATCAATCAAAATCAAAATCGAAACAAGTGTTCAGTAATCAAACCAACAATTTCAATAATTACATTTCAGATCACTTCAACATACATATACATCAAAGTATCAAATCCTCACCCCATCGTCTCCTAAAATCGTATAATTTGAAAACAACATATGTATTGGAAATAATACAATGAAATTATAACTTAATATATTTGCAATTAATAATTAAATTAGACAAATAAGAAGATTAATTTAGTAATTCACCTTAACAAATAGAAGTAAAGTAGTAAAGAACTCGGAGAACGGGAGCTCAGTCTTTACGTCGCCGATCAATTTGGTGAGAGAGGGAAGTGTACAGGCGGAGGAGTAGGTGGTGGGACACCACTGACACTAAATGAGACAAGTGGTGGTAGTCGTTGTCGGTGAGTTTGCGAGGGGAAGAGATCAAGAGGAAAGAGAATGGAGGAGTAAGGTGAGTCAATGAGAGGAAGAGGGAGGCGATGGGACTATGGGAGGAAGGAACAGAAAGACTAAGGGATGAAGGAACAAAAAAGTTCTAGGGTTTTTGTTTTAGGCTGCTTTGTATAGGTGTCGCTTGTAACACTACAAGACTATAGGCGACTCGTAAAGTAATATTTTATGAGTCACACATAATGAAAGACGGGACATGTATAGTTTACGTGTCACCTTTTATAGTGTAGGCGACGTCTATGACTTTCTATCCATTTTTAAGTGTCTTTTATCTAGCCTTATGTGTCACATGCTTTGTAAGAGGCGACACTAAAACCTTACGCGTCACTTATTAATTTGAGGCGACTCCATAGGGTGTTTTTGTAGTAGTGAAACTATTTCTTTCTCTTAACATGTCAATGTTACCTAGCATTAGGTGTCTAAGGCTTAAAATTGAATCAAAAGAGCATTTTACCAAAAATTGCCCTAATATGGCCTACATGCATGACTTCTATTTAGCCCATTTTCTACATTTCTTATCAAATGATCTATTTCTTTTTCATAACATGTGAATATCATCTAGTTTAAGGTGTATAAGGTTAGAAATCACATCGAAAGAGCAAATTAATAAAAAAATGGCCCAAATATGGCCTATATGACTTCTATTTAGCCCATTTTCTACCTTTCTTATAAAATGAACTATTTTTTTCTCATAACATGTCAATGTTACCTAGTTTTATGTGTCTAAGGCTTGAAATTAGGGCTGAGCAAAACTACCCGAAAAACCGAAAACCCGAAAAACAGATCCGTAACCGTTCCGAAAATTAGGGTACCCGATCCGATAACCATAACGGTTCGGGTACCCGTTCCGATAATTTGTTATCGGGTATGGTTATGGGTATCATTTTAAAATTAACGGTTACCCGATCCGATCCGATAAGCATTTTTTTTGCTTTTTTTCCCTACTTAAATCTATTAATATAAACTAAACTTTTACTTTACTTCATAATCACTTTATAATACCAATGATTAGTAATATTATTAATAATTTGGTTAAGATCATATGGTATTGTTTTTAATTAGTCGTAAATTATATCATAATAACTACATAGTTAAGTTTAATTATCATTATTGGGTACCTGATAACCGATCCGAAAATCCGGGTACCCGAACTTATCGGTTCCGGTTATGGGTATCACTTTTAGTGATTTTGGTTATCGGGTACCCGAACCGTTAGTACTAACGGTACGGGTAGCCGTCCCATGCTCACCCCTACTTGAAATCACATCAATAGAGCATTTTATTAAGTTTTAAGACGCATTTTACTCAAAATGACCCAAATACGGCCTATATGACTTCTACTTTGCCCATTTTTCTACATTTCTTATCAAATGAACTATTTCTTTCTCATAACATGTCAATGTTACCTAGTTTTAGGTGTTTAAGGCTTAAAATTGAATCAAAAGAGCATTTTACCAAAAATTGCCCCAATATGGCCTACATGCATGACTTTTATTTAGCCCATTTTTTAAATTTCTTATCAAATGATCTATTTCTTTCTCATAACATGTAAATATTATCTATTTTTAGGTGTATAAGGTTAGAAATCACATCAAAAGAGCATATTAACAAAAGATGGCTCAAATATGGCCTATATGACTTCTTTTTAGCCCATTTTGTACCTTTCTTTCACTAGTAGAAAATATCAAAAAGGCACCCCCTAATTGGCACTGGTTCAGTCCAAACCGGTGCCAAAAATGGCCTACAAAATTGGTGGGAAGCTGAACCAGAATAAAAGGCACCGGTTCACTTCAAACCGGTGCCAAAAACATAAAGGCCACCGGTTTGAACCGGTGCCTTTGTGAACCGGACCTTTTAATTGTTACAAAAAAACCAGCCCATTACTTATAACCCTAAAAAACCCTAAGTTCTTTACTCTCTCCTCTCCCTTCTCTCTCATCTCACTCCGCCTCTTTACTCTCTCCTCTCCCTTCTCTCTCCTCTGCTCTCCTTTCTCTCTCCTATAGCTCTCCTTCTCGATCTCTCCTTCCCAGTCTCTTCTCTCTTTCTCTTCGATCATCTCTGCAACAACAACAACAACACCACCACCACCATCGAAACAACAACAACAACAACAACAACACCGCAAAGCCGCCGCCACCACCGTAACATCAACACCACAAATTTTTCGATTTCTGGGTTAATTTTCGGTTACAATAATTGATTATTGGGTTCATGCATGCATTTTTTGGTGTTTTTCTTATGGGTTTGTTTGAAGTTGAATATTTTGGGTTAATACAAGTTGATTTGGGTTTGTTCGAAGTTGACTTTGGGTTTAATTGATTTTATGAGTGTCTTCGAAATTTTTTATGGGTTTCTTCGAAATTTTTTTAGTTTAATCCACCACGAACACATGCATGAGCAAGGTTAGGGTATAATTTATTGATTTTAATTCAATTTTTTTCTGGGTTTTTAACTGATTTTCGAATTTTGTTTTATTTTAATCGATTTATTTTTTATTTTAATCGATTTTAATTTTTTTTAAGTGATTTTTGGTTTTCTAGTTTGGTTAATCAATTTTTAAACTAATTTTAATTCGAATTTTTTAAAATTTTTGGGTTTTTTCTCTCGAAATTATTTTATTTTCTGGGTTTTTTTCTTCTGATTTTCGATTTTGGTTTTTATTTTAATCGGTTTTTTTTTTTTGTTTTCAGGGTTTTTTTTATATTTTTATTTTTTGATTTTCTTTTTAACTGATTTTCTTGGTTCAATTCTTTTTAACTGATGTTCGATCTGGGTTTTTGAACTGATTTTTTTTCGATTTTCTGGGTGTTTTTTTTGTTTTTTTCGCAGCTAAATTATGTTAATCGATTCATTTTGGTTGTTTTATTTGGTGTAGGTATATGGATTTAGATCTTAAATCAAAGAATCAAGATGCAAGTATATTGATTTAGATGTTGTTTGGGTTATTTTTTATTGTGAAGTTGTAAATTTTTTTTTGATTTATATTGTAATTTTTTTTTATTTATATGTTGTAATTTTTTTATTTTGATTTATATGTTGTAATTTTTTTGGTGATCTATACTATAAATTTTTTTTGATTATATATATATTGAACAGATGTGATTATATTGATTGTGATGTTCAATTTATATTTTGTATTCTCATTTAATTTTAGTTTGTTTATTTTTTAGGTAAAAAAAAAAATTAATATTTTGGCACCGGTTAATTGGTGCCAAAAACAGTGAATTAAAATTTTTTGGGATTTTTTTGGCACCGGTTAAGTTTTGGCACCGGTTTGAACCGGTGCCTTTTTAAACCACTTATTGGCACCCCCCCACATTGGCACCGGTTCAAACCGGTGCCTTAGGCCGGGTTTGAACCGGTGCCAATTTCATTTTTTCACGTAGTGTTTATCAAATGAACTATTTTATTATCATAACATGTCAATGTTACCTAATTTTAAGTGTCTAAGGCTTAAAATTGAATCAAAAGAGAATTTTATTAAGGTTTAAGATGCATTTTACTCAAAATGGCCCAAATATGGCGTATATGACTTCTACTTTGCTCATTTCCTACATTTCTTATCAAATGAACTATTTCTTTCTCATAACATGTCAATAGTATCTTGTTTTAGATGTATAAGGTTTGAAATCACATCAAAAGAGCATATTAACAAAAAAAAAAGGCCCAAATAGGCAAATATGGCCTATATGACTTCTATTTAGCCCATTTTCTACCTTTCTTATCAAATGAACTATTTATTTCTCATAACATGTCAATGTTATCTAATTTTAGATGTCTAAGGCTTGAAATCATATCAAAAGAGCATTTCATTAAGTTTTAGGAATTACCTCATCAAGCTGTCCATACAATGAGTCACTATGTCAAGCATGAATCTCATCACATACAAAGCACAATCAAGTCCATTTTCTTGTTGTGCGCACTAGCATATGACGAACAAATCACATCAGTGAAAATATGCATAGCAAATTAGTAAATATTTACTAACATAGATTTTAAGATAATCACAATATCGTGTAAATTACCATCGGTGACTTCCATGTTGGACCTTAAGGAGCACGACAATGTAGCTTCTTCATAACACTGTAGTAAAGTACATTCAAATTTGATTAGTCGTATGACTACTAAATTAGTTAGCAATAATCATCACTAGGTAACTATATATATTTATTTTTGCAATACAAGTGATTTATCCTTAGCACTTGCAAACTCCCTTGATGATGCCACAAGTGTTATACCACTATTTTAGGTTGAGGAAGATTTCCCGACCCTCAGTCCAAAAAGTGTACCCATTGATGTCATATTTCTCAAATGAACTAACATCATCCTAGGACCGTACGCAAGCCACTGTATTGTATCGATCAAATTAGTATCATCCAATCGACCCATTACTCGATCACGAAACCAATTGACAAACCTCTTATTATGCAACTGCATAAGTGCCCTTTCACCTTTCGATGGAAATTCTTCACGCAAACTAACCATGTGCTCATCTAAATATGGGTGAACATCTGCAATATGGTGCAACACATAAAGGTGTGCTTGTAAGAACTGATCTCGATCAGGTGACATTCGATTCGATCCAATTGTGCCATGACCATCAAGTCTCCCTTCATGTCAAGAAGTAGGAAGACCAATAGGTTCAGCAACGGCTATATAGTCGGCCACAACCATTATGTCAAAAAATGAGGGTGGGAAATACATCTCAAATTTGCACAAAGTCACAACCACATCCGCTTGCAAAGCATCTAGTTTTCAAGAATCAATCACTTTGCTGCATATTGTATTGAAAAACGAACAAAGGCTTGTAATAACTTCCCTCACGTGCTTCGGTAAAATACCACTGATTGCAATCGGTAGGAATACTTGCATCATAATGTGACAATCATGGGATTTCATACTTGTCAGCTTCAATTCTCCATTCAAGGATACAAATATTTTCATGTTAGATGAGTACCCTGATGGAACCTTAATGCCGTACATACATCCACAAAACATACGTTTCTCTACCCTTGACAATGTATAGCAAGCCGGAGGTAAATAAGTCTTTTCATCCTTCCCTTTACCCTCAACTTTCTTCTTTGACGCATCCGTGGCCTTTCCCTTTCCCTTTCCCTTTCTCTTCTCCTTCCCTTTTTTCCAAACATTTTCA